GGTGGTGATCAATCTCATGCGTGTCTAGTCCTTATTAGTGCAGATCGAATGCTATCGATCATGTTGCAATGTGGCCACCAGTCTAGGTGACTCGACACTGCGGGCACTATGTATTGAGATTTAGATGGTGGTTGGAGGTAGTCAACAGGAAACCCTGGACCCGCGTTTCGTGCTATTTGGTACTCGTCAGCAAGGTGTACCTGTAATCTGTAGGGAACTGATGCTCCCTGGCGGATTCGGTCTCGTGTCACCCAGCTTCACATTCAGAGACCTAACCACTGAGCTATCCGAGCCGCGACTGACCTCCTGTAGGACTAGACAAGCATGACACTGACCACCACCTAGTGATCAATCAATTGTGATTACATCTCAGTTCCCTCAAGATTACAGGTACACCTTGCTGACGAGTGCCAAATAGCACGAAACTCGGGTCCAGGGTTTCCTGTCGACTACCCCCAACCACCATCTAAACCTTGAGAAATTGTATGGCATCGTAACGCAAGGTTGCTAACCTTAGATGAAGTAGGCTCCAGAAGCGTCGCCGAAGGAGGAAAGATGGCAAAAGTGATCGTTACAATTACAACCTTTAGTTACCATGATATAGGCGAGGTGTTCAGTGTTGACAATACTGTAAGTCTCAACTTCGTCGATAATAAAACTACTGAGGTTGTAGTGGCATTGGACAATAGCCACACAATCCACAAAGCTGTGAACACGAGACTACTCAGAAAATAGATATTCAATATTTAACTTGGGGAAATACCTAGCAATGGAGAAGGCGCGGAGAATGAGTTGAATGGACTGGGGTTGATCGAGTGGCATGGCTCGGCCATGCAGGCGTGGTCCATCTCAATGTTACTTTATATCTTCTATTCATATTAAATATATTGTTCTTTCTCTAGCCTAACCTTGTTCTACATAATGTATTGGTAATTGATACGATACAGTGAGTTGGTGTAGTCGATGGTGTGACTTCCACGTAAGATCTTATAGATTAGGCAGTTATATCATGACGAATCTACAAATTTAGGATTAGGTCTATTATTAGAGCAGTACTAATATCATAGTAGACCATAATTCTACAAGGTGTTACACTGTTGTAAAGATTGGACCCCATTAATTTTCAGAATTTGCGGGATGGGAATGATAGTTTTAAGTTAAAATGTTTGTCGAATTTGGTTCCTCACTTTTACCATCAGTGACCTTAAATATTTGGTTATATTTTATCCCACTGGTGTGGTAGAAATCGCTCATTCACAGAAAGGATGTTTGTTTGTAAAAAATTGGTGTGGATACTCGTACAGAGTTCAGAGCAATACAGTCTTTAAGTGAAATTCAAGTCTTTTTTGTGATGTAACCACATCTATCGGATAAAATACAGTTTCTCAATCTATCGATTTACCACTTGCATGTGCCACGCTGTGGAAAGTTAGTTTCACTTAGTGACAGAGTGTATGATTTCTTATTGGATTTAATATGAGGATAGACTACCAACAAATAACTCATTAACTGGTAAGTGAGACTGTTTTTTCCAGATCTCCATCTATGACAGTCAAGCTTGGCACTTACAATGAAGCCGCGTGACGGGCAGACAATTGTTACTAGTCTCTTTGATGTAACTCTCGGTAAACAAATCTCTTTTGTATGGTTTTTTAAATGCAGTCTACTCTGTCGAAAAGTTTTTTGTAATACAAATAAAAGCGAATATAGGAGATATTTGGTTGGGGTGCATGTAATTTTGCCTGAACATAAAGGATTTTTAGGTAAGCAGTAGACCATTTATCATAAACGTAAACTGGATGCAGGTAATGTGAAATAATTTAAGGTAAAAAGTACATGACTCGTCATAAGTTCATAAGCGTTTACAACCCGGGACGAAAAATAGGGAAAAGTCTCATCATTTCCCCCAAGACGGGCAACAAGGAGGATTTTCTGATTCTTGACTCCTTTACTTTACCCTGATTTTCCCACCAAATACCCTCTTGATCCCCGTTTTTACTGGCTTCGTTTGGAACCACAAATTTTACAAAGAATGCTGAGTGAATTTAAAACTAAGAAAATCAAATATTTCCTCATTGTAGTAAGACCTGATTAACTATAGTGCAGAGCATGTTACTACTATTTACGGTAATTGAGGATAGGCGTAACTTTCTCCATTGGACATCCCTCTTCTAACTCGTGCAACACAAGTGATCTATACAGTTCATGGTATTGTGCTCTCTCTATATATCTCCTATTTCGCATTGGATAAGGTCTTGAGCCAAACTACTGTAGATACTGTAGGTTAATCATTGCAAAGCTATGCTAAAAAGGAAAGAAAATTGTTTATGTTACGTTCAATCAGTTTTAGGATTTTCAGACGTTGAAAGGCTACCTAAATATGGAAATCCTAATAAACCATGCTAACACACAAGTACCGAGAGAACTGAGTCGGGATACTCTCCTTAAATCTGGTCGAGAAAACGAAAGACGCGGAAGTGTAGGAGAACCGAAATTACCAGCTCTACCTTAAGCAAACGGTCTTTTTCTCACCACAATGATTCTTACACAGTGATATAAACACCGTATTATTGGTGTAAGATCAGGTCAAAATGAAGTGGCTGAATTTCTGCCGTCCAGATCCCACTAGTAATCAGTTTCCTCTGACCGAGTTTGCAAATTGAAAGAGATTGATGCACGCTGTGTTTTACCGGAGAATCTCGATTTCCCCTTTGTGTATGTTTAGGTTTACTGCTGCTGAGGCTGCTGGTTTCTTAAGAATCGTAACAAAACTGATGCTGTTCAGTAATTAAAATCTCTAACACCTATTAATACAATCGCTTCGAGACACAGAGCGCGTACATTGGCTGTTAAAAATTCATTAATTAGTAAGTGCGGATGAATTCTAAACCAGAATGGCATAGTGAATCTAGTACGACATTACCTGTTTCCGATTAGTTAATGTCTGATCAGTGCTTAAATAGTTGCTGATTAGAACTTTTTGACATCTTCATGGGGCAATGTAACAATTTGACAATCACGAAAGATGATTAATGCAATTAATGAAACTTTAAAGAGAAGTTAATAAAGTGACTTATACATGGAATGTTTTCACGCAGTTATATTCATCTAACAGATGATTTCTATATACTTTTCCATTAGTCCCCTCTTTACTAATCAGTCTATAAACTCACTGGTTTGGCTAAATGTTTAGCAACGCAAACATTTATGCAAGTTGTCATTTTAAGCAAACTCCATGTAAACTAAAACCATCACTGTCATATCCACCCCAATCCTGGAAAACATTCATTACATTGCCATAGACATGTGTTGGGAGTTGTACTCCCCTTGTGCCCTTCCTAATGACCATACAAGTAGTAACCAATGCTCGTTACGTTACATAGCTTTCTTTAGCTAGAAGTGTTATGAAACAATGTCAAACATAATTTCAGTTGGTGTTGCTTACATGAATCTTCCGATTGGTGCTTAAGACTGCAATTGATCAGTTTTTTATTAGCGTATTTGCATACTGTACGTACTGCCCTGATATTGCCTTAATTCACAAGCATTATAAGCAAAGATGGATAGTGGCTAGCAGTGGAATCCAGGATGGACGTTTCATCTTATTTGGGAATTCTTATTCTCCGCGTCCATATCTCTGTTCCTTCCGTTACTTTACAGTTAGAGATCTAACTGAAATTCAATACATGCGGGCAGTGCACCGGGGAAATATGAACTGATCTTCGACTTTAACTCAAAGATAATGGTATTATCAACATTTCTAAAGTATCGATGAACAGAATCTCTCGACCTTCGGATTAACAGGTGCTGTACAAGAATGGATAGGAAACTTTTTATGTGACCACAGACAGAGAATGAGAGTCAGTGGGACTCTATCCGAATGGAAGCCGGTCAAAAGTGACGTACCCCAAGGCACCATCTCAGGCCCTCAACTTTTCCTTCACTACGTTAATTAATTACCGCTGTGATACTGAATAAAACCATCTAAATTCATATCTTATAAAGTACCAACCCAGTTGAGTAATTTACTACAATGAAAATTGTATCATTTGTAACAACTTTATCTTGCCTGTAAACTGGCATGTCTCATGTAATAAACTGTTATTTGAGAATAAATTATTATTATTAAGTTGTCGACATTATTGTTTTTGCGGACGATGTCAAAATCTGAAGAACAGTAAGAAGTAAGGCTGATAATTTTGACCTTCAAGCTAATTTAGATGAATTAGTTAGATGGGGCCGAGGTTTGGGCTCAGAAGTTAATTATAGGTAGAGTGTGCGCATGTACATCGGACATGGTAATAGTTACCATTATGCTATTGATGGTGCATCTCTTCCACGCGTTCAAGAATATAAAGACTTAGGTGTAATAATAAGCCATGACTTGAAAACTACTACGCATCGCAACTCAGCTGCTTTCAAAGGTTTTCGTGCTTTATGATCACGTCGCCGAGCATTCAAATGCTTTGATGAGGAAATGTTTCGAATTTTATATCCCACCCGTGTAAGACCACTTACAGTACTGTACTCAAGCAGCTAGCCCAAGGATACCAACTCATTTGAGCGTCTCCAGCCTGTGAGAACAAAATTAGTGAAGGGTCTTCCTAAACTTCCTTACGATGAGCTCTTAAAACCCCTAAACCTTTTCCCCTTGTCGTATCGTAGGCGCGAAGTGGACTTATACTGGTATTTCATATTTTTAATTATGATTTGAGTGTTAATATGTCTTACCTTTTTGCTCCCTTCAGGACTAATAATCCCCGAGGTCATAGTAGGAAGGTACACAAACCGCGATCTAATAAACTTAAAGTGGTGTCCTTTTTTTCTCATCGAGTAGTCAATGACTGGGACGCCTTATCCGAACAAGTGATATAAGCCCCATCAGTGAATATTTTCAAGGAGAAGCCGGACCTTCATTGGAAAGAAATCTGTCAGGATTAACACAGGTTCACCAACCTACTATCCTTAATACTGAAGACTGAATACTGATCACTATGACTCCGAGACGCACGACCGCGCGAAATGAGTTTAGAGTTTTCATTTCATCGTCCTTAGAGCTCTGTTATTGTGTGGAAGGAATATCTCCTGCATCAGTAGTCAAAGATGTTATCAAAGAAGCTGAACTTTGTTTTGGCATATCTAATGATCTCATGCACGTTAATTTTATTGATAGAGGTACCATTCCAATCACTGTAAAAATAAAATGTCTCAAACTTAAGGTGATCTGATTGATTCTTCCTCTTTGATGGAGTCAAATATCGTCAATGGGTCCACTTTGCATGTTACAACATCAAAATCACTGGAGGCCTTATTCAAGTCTATAATAACGAGTGATATGAATCTCGTACGTGACTTCAAATAATATTTTTAGATTATACAAAATAGCTTATCGAAATTCTTCCCTTATCCATCTGGACCTTTCATCAGTATGGCAACAAAATATCAGCAGGACTACATTGCATCTCGTCTGAATACTGCTCTCCTGTTTGCTTCTGGAATGGGTTTGGCAAACGTTTGCAACACACTAATATGTTTAGGTAGGTGTTTTGTTCTGAATATGTTTACTTGACATGATCCATAGTTCCAATAGATGTATTTGTTAGACCTTAAGGTGTCAGTCATCCACACTTGCAGGAGCAGCGTTTATCTTTTTATCTGTTACCAAATGTATCTGCGTGGAGTCGAAAAATACTACCCATAAACTATGCATTTTACCGACTTATTAAATTTGGTAGTGTCACATTTTTTTAAGAGAAATATCTCTAATTCACTGCCTGTTTTAAATACCTACCTATTTCCCCAAATGTGTTTACAATGTGTTGCGACTTATTACATATACTGAATTGCAAAGTCAGTTTCATTACTTTTTCTAACCACACGCAACTAACCACTTTGTAAACTTAAGTCATTTTTGTAACGTATATTCGTGCTACCATCTGTTTGGATACTATAAAATATGTTGATACCTACTGTATATGTCACAGGTATTGCAATTTACTATACCACTTCTCTACACTCGTTTTATAAGGTAAGTGTTAGACAGTAATAAAGTTATGTGTCCCTACTTTTCTTTGGGAAAAGTAGTGTTTTCCGTAAATATCGTCATTTCATTCTATTTGTTGGGAAGGAATAATCATGTGAAACGACAAGTATGAATTGAAAGTGGTTTAAGCTGAATAGCTTTTTTTAATCCTCAAGTAACCCTGTCACATACTCCGATTAAATTGTATTGCTAGGTTGGTAAAAAAAATTTAAAAGGACTTTGCCGAGTATCTAATAATTGGCTTGGGCTGTCAGTGATATGAAAGGATACAACAAAAGGACAAGATTATCAAGACAAAATGAAAACATCTCGACGGTAGATGGAAACCGAGGTTATATGGAACAATAATTTGTTCAGGGTTAGGAATCTTTAAGTAGATGCATTAATTGCCTCAAAGTTTCTTTAAAATGATTAGTATCACTTGTCGAAGAATTATTTCACAGTCCTACAGAAAAACTGAGTTTATATGCTCAGTCCAAGTTTAATCCTTGATGATACTTCAGCTCTTTTACTTTCTTGATGAGTGACGTAAGTTGGGAGATTCCAGCCGGATCATTTACTTTTACCTCTGAGGATAATTTTTCACTGCCTCAAAGTCAAAAGTTACAAATAACTAACTGACTTATGCAGTGAGGATGGTACAGGTATTCAGTGTTTGACAACGCTTTTACCAGTAACACCTAATATAACTCGTACCCATCAAGAGAACTCAAAAGACAGAATCGAGGAGATCGGAAGAGTGTATTTGGCGATAACCAATATATCGGAATTGTCTGATCTAATCTGGCTAGCGATTGCGGTAGATGTTGAGCACGGTGTTCCCACACGTGATCTGGTGCGGATGCATGACCGAGCGCCTTCAGCTAGGTGAGTCCATTAAAACTAATCTGGTCAGCATCCAATGTCGAAAACTTACAGAGCTATTTATTTTGGGGATTTATTTACCACTACAGCAGAATTGAGGTTATACCTATCCTATTTCAATGTTGGCTTATCTGTATTTTTAGTTGTCCTTTTGCTGCAATTTCTGAACTTCTTTCTGCAGTTTTGAGTCGTTAAAAAGAAGTGAACTTACAGAAAACCCTTATAAATCTAAGTCATTAGAAAAAATCGGATGATGGATTTTAGATCTAGAATCTTGATTCATTTCACCAAGATATCCAAAAAGAAAGTTCAAACCATTTAGTATGTAGATATATCAAAATACAAAAAAATGCATCATTTTCAGTTGCCACGTCTTACGAACTTTTCACGGATTTTCTACATTATTATGTTTGTTTATTTATCAGCATTTCATCTATTCATTTTAACTTTATGAAATCCATTCATTATAATCAATCCTTCGAATTCCTCCTTCATGACAGTAACAAGGGGTTACTCGTTAAGTCAGTCAGTCAGCTACAACGTAGGACCAGGCAAATATATGCATCGGTCCAAGTTGCCATACCTCATTAACACAACAAGATGAACACCGAATCCATAAAAGTAGTTAGTTCAGAGGTGTAAATATACAAAAGAAAGATTGCATATGAGGATATAGTACAGGAAGAAAGGGTTAGTTCGTAGAAAGAAAGATGTGAAGCGATTTTAATCTCTTAGTTTAAGGGAAGACAGAGAGTGTATACACCGACGCCATCGTGATCGATTCTGAGCCACCAAGAGTCTCCAACCATTGGTTACGATAGTCACGTGGACCCCAACCAAATAGTCTGCATCTACCGTCAACATGACTCAGACTAGAAGTTAGTGACTTTGTGGACTGGTGCCACGTTTTGGTTTGGCCGCCCCTAATTTTCTTCCATCTGACTGGTCACAATCACTTATCGTCGTCGGGAGTTACTCGTTAAAGTTAAACATCATTTAAGTTTTATATCATACACCTTCAGTTTTACTACTATGATGAATCATACTCTGACAAATGGATTGCTATTTTGAATCACGGAAGATTTTGCAAAAAAATTGTTCTTTCTTTAAAGATAATTAGGTTAGAAATCTTGAAAATCTGACGGTTAACAGTATTATTTATTTACAAATTGAAATAACGGGTCGATTTACATAATACTTTCAATTAATTAGCCAACCATGCTTGTAATGTGAAAATAAATTATAATAGATTAGGTTGGATTTTACTTTGTAAATATAACTTTAGTTACAGTTAATATTAGCTAAAATGCCATTGGGAAACAGCAATCAATGAATAACTTACTCTATGACATTGCGAATGAGGTGTACGCGACACAAAATGTTTTGAGAGTATGGAAACACTTGTGTTATAGCAGCAGTTATTGCAGATGAGTAATCATCGACAATGCTAACCAACTCTCGATCAAGACTGTTAAATAGGCACCTTATCAAACGCCGTTTGTATTGCACAGTGCAATAACTATAATAACTAAGATATTGTTCTGTGCAACACAAACGAAGTTTGATAAGGTGCCTATTTAACAGGCTTTATCGTATTTGCACAAATGACGCTATTGATGATGATGTTAGGTTGTTGAACAAAACACTAGTGGGAAATGGCTACCCCTTTAAATTAATAAATAAATGGAAAGTTCATGGCACAGTGAGACCTACTATAGCCTTGGCGGAAGAAAGCCTGTCTACATCACCTTACCATTTAGAGATGATTCAAATAGCCTTTTATTGAAGCAAAGGCTTAAATCAGTCATTAACAAGACGTATTACGCAGCAAAAATCATTATCAAGGAAAGAACAAGGTTCATGTCTCATCGAAAACCTAAAAGACATGAAAACGACCGAGTCACATCTCACTCGGTTTACCAAATTAAATGTGTGTGTGGCCACAAATACATAGGGAGTAATCGTGATCTCAAAATTAGGATGTGTGAACATGTACCTAAATAGCTACAGAAACATATAGAATCAAATGATCCAGTAAGAGTATAGGATAAACATCAATCATCCTCTATTGCCAAACACATAATTGCAACAGGTCATAAGATTAATCTTAACTTGGCTTTTGTGGTGTTGTGCAAAAGTGTAAAGGGCGTTTAAATGATAAGAAGAAGGTGATAATTAGCAGTTATAATTTGTAAAATTCAAAGAGGTGCTAAGACTATGAATAATAAAGGATTGGACTTGACTCTTCCGTACACAGAGGTCGGGTTTGAAGTGATGAATTGCTATAGCCTCAACTACGCACAACATCCTGATCTAAAAATTTTTTCAGCCAGTTCTTTTCGCGTTTTGTTGAGGATTTTGAAAAACGATTAATGTGTTGAGGTGTGATTCGAATTGATCATATGCTATGCAACTGAGCTGTTGATTGATCTCTCTAATTTTGTTTTTCTTTTGATAGGTGCAAATGTCAATGCAAAAACTAAATTTGGCAGGACACCTTTACATATCGCTGCAGCTCATTTTTCATCAGAAGAAATAATTACAGATCTTGTTAATCGTGGTAATATTTAATTTTAGATTAGCTGAGTCAAAATGTTCCATTAAAAATTTACATTTTTGGTGGAATAATATACCTTTATTTCTTGAAAAAAAACCTTTAACAAATTCTAAAGGTTGATTATTGATAATTTAATCTGACGGTTCTGGGTTCGATCCACTAGTAGGGTTGTTGTTGTTATTGTGAACACTAGATCAAAAAGTGTATGAATTATTCATTGACTAAGGTATCTGAGTATAGTTCTGAAAATACATTCTTTAGTAAAACTGACAAAAGTATTGAATAGCTTTTGAAATGTGTGTGATTGTTCAGATTATGTCTTTGTTTATAGAAAGTTCGTAAGAATAGTGTTCAATGAATTTTCCTCGAGGAACTGAAATAAATCCTTACTGGTTGATTTGAGCCATCGAAAATCATCCACAAGCTCAGCGGAAGTTATTTATAGTATCGATCTACCTCATTCCGTTTCAAAACGAAGTTATTGGTAATGCGAGTGATATTAATATAACTCAGAAAACCGAAGTATTGATAAAAGGTTGTGCTTGCGGTCAGACAACGTTTTGGTATGTCTCTTTAAAACAAGTGGTAGACTTGATCAGCACAGACAACACATACTTATGTGTACACTCCAGATCGCAGCCAAACGGTATGTGACAGATGTTGATGGATGAATACTAATGGTCGAGAGTTGGGTCAATTGTTCGACATAAATACGTCTATATATATTATTCCACAAACAGAAGCAATAACTCAAAACAACTGTCAGAATCATTCATAATGAAATATAGCATGAGTTCTGAGTCTTCCTGTAAGCTACATTGAGAATACTGGTAGTATTCACAGCATTTGATTTAATAGATCAGATTATTGGTTTCTTATTCGTTAATTTAAATAGGTTACACAATCCATCGCTACCACTGCTGTAATGTGGTATGATAACCCATTGTTTGCTCTTTTTCTAATGTCACACTTTTTGAAATAAAAGATTTCATCTTCAGAAGAAACCTATGCAGTTTAATTGACTGTTCAGCCCTTATCCTGGTCTGTGCATTCTCAGGACATTTGACTTTGTTTTTATAATGAAGGAATACTAGAGCTCTGGATCGAGAGAATGGTAATGAATAAATTTAACTGCGTCATTGTAACCAAATTAAAAAATCCCTTGGTTATGACAAAATTGTTATGCATTAAAATCTTCACCCAACACCTCAAGTCATTGATCGTGTTTAATATAGTTTGGACCAAAATTTAGTTACTTTATAGATCGACGCCATGTTCTTGTTTGGCCGCTTGCAGATTTGGAATATAGAAATAAAATTTATCTATAGTGTTCAGCAAACTTATTTTAATTTCTTTTATTTTCTAGGCGCTGATATAAAAACGAAAGATATTTTTGGTGAAACTGCATTAGATATAGCTCGGCGGTATGGTAATCATCATGTAATTAAACAAATACTACGACTTAGTTGGTTACAAAGATGTAAATCTTCAAAACCACAATATTCGAATATACCTCTGCGTGCTTTTCAAATGTGTGATTCAGCGTATCCGAAATGGCGTCGAAATCTTAATGGTCAAATATATTTACAAGTTAGTACATCTATAGCTATTAAGTTGATGATCTTGGTAATTTTATTTTTTAAAAGTTCACTTATTTAAAATTAACTGAAAAAAACTTCTTAAAAATAATAATTACTTATGAGAAGCATGTAACAACAGTGTGAGGACGGTCCACGGGTGAACTCGAGGAAGCTCTAAGAATCTCAGAAAGAGCCGAAGATATTCCATCCAATCATCTTTTGGAAGAATATTCCAGAATCCCTACATGTAGCTTCCCTATTAGACAAGTGCTAATAACCCCCTGTGTGCGGATTGGATAACTATAATGATGATTTCGTTTTTACTAAAAATTATAAATACCTAACAGTTTTGTACCATAATTGACACTGTTTGGAATAACATTCCTTTCACTTGTTTTCTGTCTTCTCATTTGCGAATTGAGAGTGTTCTAGCTTCCAGTGCTCAATTTATACGCGGTATATTACGAATCTAAGCTCTCAATATAACAAACAGTTTAAATACATATGTATGATATATTTGAATCATATTTAACAGTAGAATCCACAATAATTGCTTAATCCTATTTGCTGTTCATAATTTGGAACTATCTCTATACTAGTGTTTATATTTTATATCTCATTGCTAATCATTATCTAGAATATACAATTCACTAATAATTCAATACATTAAGGTTTATCTACCAATATTAGTTGTATAATAATATACCCTTGTGGGCCAGGGTAATTTTACATCGGTTTTCAGGAGAACCAGACATCATCCAGACTTTCACGTGAAAACCCAAACACTACAGCCCAACCCCGTTCAGCAGGAGAACCAGACACTGTATAGGCTTTAACGTTACAATCTGAATAATACAGCTCAATCCTGTGGCGCAACCACATAGGTACCAATCACACTGGTGGACCATTATCTACTAATAGAGACTAATCAAAATTAGTTGTGAATGTAAACAACAAGAAAATTAATGATTATAAAATATTATATTAAATTGTGTTCGTTCGAAATGGTACCTCCTTGTATTTCATTCATATTTTTCTTTTCTTTTTTTATAATGTAAAATTGAGAAACTTACACCAAGAGGTGAATATTTTGGATCAAGACTGGATGCACCAAAATGGAATTGGCCTAAATTAGAAATGGTATTAACTAGAAAACAGATGTAAGTTTAGAATTACTTTCATTTTTCAATATTTTATCGATTGGTAAATCCATTTCTTTGGTTCGGTTTTATAGTGATTGATTTAATTATTAGAATGTATTCAATCACAGACTGATCTGAATTGGGATATAATCATATTGAGTAAAATTGAGATATTACCAATGAACATGAATTCAGTATTTTTAATGATCATGTGTTCACAGCGAGACCCAAATATTGTAGGTTTCATCCTTGACACTGTAGCAGATGGACACTATTGAGCAGTCGTATACCAGGACAAAACAGCTGTTCAGTACTCATCGGTTTTCAATGATATCCCAACTGAGATCAATCGGCTACAGCTTAACAGATTACTTCGTTCTTATTGGGATTCCAAAAAATAATGCTATCATATTGGTTCATGCTGTGAAAATGTGTCTAAATTGATTAATTAGACCCATGAAATTAATTCATTCGGGACTTGTTCTATTCAAGGCAGCTACGTTGATGAATTGGAAATCAAATTTCAAAGCTTCACTAAGGTTCAGTGTAAAACTATTATACACCATGAAGGTGACTCAATTGACTATGTATATAATTGTCAGTTGTTATACCATAGATCCAAATGTATTAGCGACTTTTGTATTTCCGTTTAGCATTCAAGTTATTGAATGTGCTACCTATCCTTATTTTTGTTTGTTAACCCGAAAATTTTAAATATTGATATGTAAATATCTCACATGAAAAGTCCTTCACTCTTTCCACCGCGAATTAGTAACCCATTATATATTCATCACTCAAGATTATGGCTCGCTATACTTAAAGAAGTACATCATCACTACCTGGTTAGTTTTAGTATTACACTTAAACGTAGCATTTGTTTGTTTGTATCATTATTCTACAATATCTTTTTACGAGATCGGATTATCAATATAAATCTCAGAGTGGTACCAATGATGGTACAAAACACTAGGCATAGACAACGTGATTCTAGAATACATAATGAATTCGTGTCATGAAAAATCATACGTTCATTATAAAATTGAAGATTTACGGAAAGACAAGGAGTGAATGCGTGTGCTCAATTGTAATAGATTTTGATTCATGTTATCTAACATCTCCAACCATTGATTATCATAATCACTCATGCTAAAAACAAGGTAGTCTGCACCCGCCAACATAACTTAGTCTAACACCTTATAATTTCATAGAGATATCAATCCTAATTTTTACCATTTCTAACTTCCTAACAGTTTACTCCTACATTAACCAATATCCTCCATCTAGGTAGGCGGTAGTTACACATACGTTATACATATTTAATTCGTTTTAATAACTTTTCAATCTATACTAATCAAAAACTTGTTTTACTTCGAAAATCGAGTATTCATTTGTATTAACAAATTTGTTTCCTACTTTTAGGCATCTTGAAGCAAGATCAACTGGTAATCGTGTCAAATCTGCCTTACCTTTTTCATGTGCAAAATAACATCATCATCACAAAGCCTAACTAACAATAAAGCGGAATTTTAAATTTTGCACCTTCTAAATTTTATGTTCAGATAATGCAAGATGATATTCTTGTTCTTCTATACAACACTCATCCAATAATCAAGATAAATAGATGTTTATAATGTAAACTATATTTCTGTTCAATAGTTCACTGTTATTCGCTTAGACCAATTATGTTTATTGATATAGATGAGAAACTACTTAAACTTATTTGTGAGTAATTTGAAAATAATCCATAGTATAGTATTCAGAAACCATTTGAAACACTGAACACATGTATGTTGTTCAAGTTATATAATATACCCTTGTCGGTCAGGGTAATTTTACATTTGTTTTCAGGAGAACCAAACACCATCCAGACGTTCACATGAGAACCTAAACAGTACAGCTCAATCCCGTTTAACAAGAGAGCCAGACATCGCATAGGCTTAAATTTTATAACCCGAGCAGTACAGCTCAATCCCGTTTAGCAGGAGAACCAGACACTGTATAGGCTTTAACGCTACAATCTGAATAGTATAGCTCAATCCTGTGGCGCAACCACACAGGTAAAAAGCACTCTGGTGTACCATTCATATACACATTCACGTCACATGTATAGTTATTCCGATCAGTGACCGCGTAAATCAATTATGCACAGCACGAACAAGCTAAAGTTGACGTATTCCGCTTGCACGACAGTCAAACTCATTAATGTTAGCACTGGCGACATGCCTTACAATATCTCAATGACAATGGCCCTTGAGAACACTGAAAAGCAACCACCAGTATGAATGAAATCGGTTAACCAGCAAACCAATTTTGTGCATGAACAGTCAGTAAAACTTGCCAAAGTAGTGCCGAACCATCCACAACATCAATGGCAAACCTCCAGTCTCATATGAGACCTTCAGCTCTACACAGCCATTTAGCTTATACTGAATGCAATACATATGTAGGATAGCGCAGCCTGAATCGTTAGGGTTTAAACAACCCTTAAAACCCATTGTCTGGTGTCAGAATACTATCACTAGATCACCAAGATCATTTTTATCGCATTTGCGGAATTTTCATTTTTCCAACTTTTCAGACCCTGAGTTAGGGGTAGTATCCCTATGTTGTTCAAGTATATTGGATTAATTAATAATGCACTAGAAATCGAATGTTTGACCTTCTGATCTCTCAATAAACACGTTTGATCTAGTCTACTGATTTGGTACGTCCAGTGATCCACAGTTACAAATATAATCATTATTAATAACTATCTCACTCCTAACATGATTAAACTCCAAGGGATGATTGTTAGATTAATCCTTAATATTGATCATGTTTGCGTGATCTAGAATTCCAGTATTTATTTCCAATTACGTAACTTGAAAGTGTGTGAATCTCAGTTCAGTTGTAGACATTCTTTCTAGATAGTTATCGAGCTGTAATATTTTTTCCACCGTTGTGTACATATGTATTTACAAAATATCCTTGTAAATCTTAAAGAAATTAAAGCATTATGTGGTGGTTTTACGCTTTGAAGGTAGTTTATTTCATCACGAACTGAATTAAGCCAGACAATGATTGAAAAACTGAGTAACATTGGATAGTTGTTACTTTCTAGTATTGAGTGATGGTCGGTCGATCATTTAGTGAATTGACTACATTTGGGAATTTTAACAAGCAGATCCCAACTCATTTGTTTAAATCTGACTTACCATGAGGTCGTACTAAAGTCGTCCCGCTGTATAACCCTTTTTAAATATAATGTATTTTAATGATACATTGATTTTGTAAGTAAGAATACGTCTTCGCGAGCGAAAAGTTCATCATGACGTATTAAATGGAAATAATGGAAAAGGTCTGACAAGTGTGCTTAAAATCTAAACTGTGGTTATGCACTCTTAAGTGCTAGTTGTACAATTAACTAACAAGTAAACACTCATAAAGCTGAAATTTAACCAACCTTTTCTGGTCTATTAAATTACATTATATACTAATAACATGTGGTGAAGTTTATGTGTAAGCCTGTATGGTGTCATTGAATTCCTGTGCGACATTATTCTTGATATTAAGTCATTATAGATAGTCTCCGGGCTATTCTAGACCCAAGTTTTATCCTGTTTGGTAATTATTGGTAAAGTTTACCTGGAATGCTAATAGTCCTAATAGACTCGAATTCAAATCACCCAGTTTTATAGTATGAAACGTTAACACAGCTATTCGCGCTGTAACTGGTTTCCTATAGGACTAAGATATTCACATTGACTGGTCACACGGTAGCGATCACTATTATATTTGATTTAAAACTTTACGTCAATAGCCTGATAATAAAATATTGGGAAAATTAATATAGCGCAAGAACACGACGAGTATTGAAGAGGTTATAACTGATTTTCGGAATATTATTGTTTATAGTTCAATGGTATAATTAATGGACAAGTGTGTTATTGTATTTATATGTTCTTCTTATAGTAAGCTTTCAGTGGACATTTTAACTATTGTCATGCGTTTTATCGTTCTTTAATTATTCCTAACGAGTTACATACTGTTTGTTTCACTGTCTGCCACTTAGGCCATGATTGTGTTTATAGTATGATTTCTTCTTGGGGTTTTTGTGATACCTCATAATCAGTGTATATAAGCTAATTAGTGTTTGAGATAGATGCTTGCTATGCTTGCTGCCTGGACTAGTCGATTGAAATATAGTAATGATAAAAGCTTGACTTCTGATTTCTCCTCGGACTCAAAGCTGGAGATGGAGAAAGGCATGTAGATAGGTGACCAATAGGAGTGTAGATTAAATTAGCTCAAGGTTAGTTTTATCGTTAAGAATGTATCGTTGCTCCATGCTAAAGACCTTAGGCTATAGTTAGAATAGCAGACGCTGGGAAGGGAAATTATAACCGGGATTTGGATTGGCGAATTCAGCCAGCGATATCGATCCACGTTTCCGGTTGCCAAAACTAATTTTGCTAAGTAACAAAAAGTAGCTAGACTTCAGAAAATATTCTAAATCTTAGAGAAGATTACTTGCTAAACAAAAAATTAATGTTTTTGTTATGTTGTACAGAAATATGATAGTTTCCTGTCAACAAAACAGAACGTTCATGAATGAGTTCTCCCATACGAGTTATACTACTTGTCGTTGTAAATTAGCCCTTAAAAAGCACTGCAATATAACTAACAAAAAAGCCTCCTTTTGGTTATACACTCCCATCGAGTGTTTTATATTCGAACCCCACAGGGAGCTCTAGTCCCTACAGGACTAAAGTTAATTACCTACTGACAAGTCCCATCAGACATGAAAAGGATGAATAGCAACTGGAAAGGATTGCCTATGACAGAGTTGGATGGAGAATGCTGCTGAGCGGCCTATGCTCCTCCACGTGGGGTAACAGTAGCAAATAAGTAGGTATATTACCGTATTTTAGACTCTTATCATACTAATTAACTATTATTATAGATTTTATCATTAATTAACCATTGTTAATTAAGTATTCCCATCTTTCTACGTTTTCTGCCACTTATCACCGTGGTTGTATATTTGAAAGATAAAATTGAATCATTCACCGGGTATGTGAGCATGAGCCACACTCCAAGTCTAAGAGATAATGATACTATTCGGCTAACCAAATGGAAGTAAGAAGAATGAGGTTCAGAGTTGGGATTAAGTGACTGAAAGTCGAACACCTTAACCACTAATCCGAAGCATAATCTATGATGCCTTTCTCATTTGCGGTGTCAGGTTGTCTGATGATTATCTTATTTAAACCCATGAATGTTTAAACATTGAGTATTGAACAAAACAGATGATCGCCTGCTTGTTGTTTTCTTATTTTGTACCAAATACTGGGCGAGGAGGTGGACATGTTAGACTAATAGGTAATAAGAATGATCTCGATCACCACTCAATGTTGACTTTTATTGATCAGAGTGACCCATTGGTCACGGTTAAGCTAGATAATCTATGGGCTCAAAGTATACTTGGATTGATCAGTCATAATGCAGATCCTTATCAGTGGAATTTTATCCAATGTACTCAGTTAAGGGAACATATATAGAAGAACCTAAGGTACAACACCTATAAGATACAAAAAGTATCTTCTGAATACAAAACTCAGTTCGAATGAAATAATTAGTAATTCAGATAACGACATTAAACCGATAAGAGACTAGTGGATAAAGAACCTAATTTTTAATAGTAGATATTCAGGAAGTTAACAAACGACAGTTATTCTGTACCACAGATCAGTATAGTCTAATGATCCTTGGCGTTGTGTTATGAAAGCTAGATATATCGAGACTGGCATCTATCAGTACATAATAACTCTATAGTTGATTTCCTAAAAATCGTAGAACCCACTGGATTAAGACTTTATCAAATACGGCTTAGAATATAAATTACTAGAGACTGTTCTTTAGTTTTCTCTAATTAACCTTTACATCTTTAGAATGAGATGAATTTACTAAAACTGGATGAAGTATCTTTTGACTGTATTTTTAATTGAACAGTATTTCTCACTAGATACCACTTTTGTTCTCTAATTCCTCGACTGAACTATAGTGAACAAAGACACAAGCGAGAACAACCAAACACTCTGCAATACAAAAATACGGAGTCGCTTACTAAAATCTGAGAACCATACAATAAACACTTCATTTGTAAAATATCGATCAACTGTCTCCGACCTTGTCGCTCCTTAGTTACCACACAAATCATTCTTTGTTCTCATTCTCTTCCCTTCGATCTTCTCAATCTTCTGTCGCTAGGCATTCCACTTTCGATTGGTGATACATACTACTTATATCTGTCGACATCAGTAGCACTAATTACACTACCACTATCCTCTCATTTATTCCTTTATAAATATCATCACGTCATTTGTTTAATTCGTATATTTTTGGTTTCCTATTGTCCACCAACAATTGAAGAGATCATCATGGCCATCAGACAAATCAAGAGTGGCAAAGCAGCAGGACCAGAGGAAAATCCAGCAGAGGCACTGAAGGCAGACGTAGCGGTAACTACAAGGATACTCTACATTCTCTTCAATAAGATTTGGGATAAAGAACAAGTACCAGCAGACTGGAAAGAAGGACTTCTGATCAAAATACCGAAGAAAGGCGATCTCAGCAAGTGTGATAACTACAGGGGCATCACTCTTCTCTCAATACCGGGA